TAGGCCAATTAACCTAACATCTATTGTTGCAAACGTGTTGGAATCAGTTATGAGGGAAGTAATAGCAAAACATTTGGAAATTAGATTTAACCGAGCAGAATCAGAATGTCTTCATGAAGGGGAAATCGGGTCTGACTAATTTATTAGAGTTTTTTGAGGAATTCGCAACCAGAGTGGATAGAGGGGTACAATGGATATATTGTATTTGACTTCATGAAGGTGCTAGACAAGGTACCTCATAAAACAGCCCTTGTGTTGGAGGCAGAGTAGTGGCAACGATAGAGAATTAGCTCATGGGCATGAAACAGTGAGTGGGGATAAGAGGTTTCTTTTCAGGTTGGCGACCTGTGACCAGTGAACATCCACAGAATCAGTGCTCGGACTGCAACAGTACATGTGGGGTGGAGAAATTGTGGGAGGGTGTGGGGGTATTGTGGGAGGGACAAGGGGAGGGTGTGGGGGTAATCGGGGGAGAGCGTGGGGATGGGTGATTGGGGGAGGGTGTGAGGTGAGGGTTGCAGAAGATGTGGGGGATTGGAGGAGGGTGTTGGGTGGGGAAATTGTGGGAAGTTGTGGAGGGGATTGGGGGAGGATTGGGGAAGTGAAAAACTGTAGCCAAATTACCAGACGCCTCAAAAGTAAATGGAAAGGCAAGTTGTGACAGGATTATAAATAGTTTACAGTGAAAAATTGATAGATTAAGTAAGTAGGCAGAAATTTGGCAAATGAAATATAACATGGGAAAATGTGAAGTTGTTCATTTTGGAAGGGAGAACAAAAGAACAGAATATCATTTAAATGGAGAAAAACTACAGAAAGCTGTAACACAAAGGGACAAGGAGATACTTGTGCACAAAATGTAGAAAGCTAGCACACAGATGCAGCAGGTAATCAGGAAGGCTAATGGAATGTTGGCCCTTATTTTAAGGGGGTTGGAGTATAAGAGTGGGGAAATCCTATTGCAAGTCTACAAGGGGCTGGCGAAACACATCTGGAGTAGTGTGAGCAGTTTTGGTCCCCTTATTTAAGGAAAGACATCATTTCATTGAAGGCAGTTCAGAGAAAGTTCAGTAGGGGGATCTGTGGAATGGAGGGATTGTCTGACGAGCAAAGGCTAAACAAGTTGGCACTCTACTCCCTGCAGTTTAGAAGAATGAGAAGTGATCTCTTTGAAACACATTGGATTCTTAAGGGGCTTGACAGGGTAAATGCTGTGGGAATGTTTGCTTCATGGGAAACTCTAGGACCAGAGGGCATACCCTCAAAATAAAGGGGGACCAATTTAAGACTGAGATGAAGAGGAATTTCTTCTCTGAGAAGGTCGGGAGTCTTCAGAACTCCTTGCTGTGGATGCAGAGCCCTTGTGGGGGCAGAGTCCTTAAGGCTGAAATGGATGCTTTCTTGATCAATAGGGGAATCAAGGGTTACAGGAAAAGGACAAGAAAGTGGTTGCAAGAATGTCAGATCACCAGTGATCCTATTGGATGGCACAGCAGGCTCAAGGGCCTACTCCTGTTCCTATTTCTTATGGGCTTATGGTCTTACCATAGCAGGTCAGGTAGATAAGATAGTTAAGTTAGCATTTGAGATACTTGCCTTCATTAGTTGGGGCGTACAGCGCAAGAGCAAGGAGCTTATGATGGGACTGAATAAAACACAATTTGGGTTACAACTGGAGCATTGCATGCAATGCTGTTCATCATATTATAGGAAAGATGTGACTGCATTAGAGAGGCTGCAGAGAAAATCTACCCAGTCGCTGCCTGGTTTGGAGGGTCTGAGCCATGAGGAAAGATTGGATCGGCTGGTGTTTTCTTTCCTTTGAGCAGCAAAGGTTGAGACGGAACCTGATGGAGTTACAGAAGGGCATAGATCGAGTCATCAAATCGTAGAGATCTAAGCACAGACAGAGGCCCATCAGCCCATTACGTCCACACTGGTCAAAAACAACCACCTATTTTAATCCCATTTTCTAGCATTTGTATGTCTTGGTATCACAAATGTATATCTAATTATTTCTGAAATGTTATGAAGGTTTCTGCCTCTACCACCCTTCCATAGGTAGTAGCTTCCAGATCCCCACCACAATACGGGCAGGGTGGATAGAGTCGTAGAGATATACTGCATGGAAGCAGACCCTTTGGTCCAACTTGTCCATGCTGATCAGATATCCTAAATAAATCTAGTCCCATTTGCCAGCATTTGGACCGTATCCCTCTAAACCCTTCCTATTCATATACCCATCCAGATGCCTTTTAAATGTTGTAATTGTACCAGCCTCCACCACTTCCTCTGGCAGCTCATTCCATACACGCACCACCCTCTGCATGAAAAAGTTGCTCGTTAGGTCCCTTTTAAATCTTTTCCCTCTCATCTTAAAACTATGCCCGCTAGTTTTGGACTCCACCACCTTGGGGAAGAAGCTTTGTCTATTTACCCTGTCTATGCCCCTCACACCTCCACTCTCCAGGGAAAATAGCCCCAGTCTATTTAGCCTCTCCCTTTAGCTCAAACCCTTAAACCTTGGCAACATCCTTGTAAATCTTTTCTGAACTCATTCAAATTTCACAACTTCCTTCCCATAGCACGGAGATCAGAATTGTACACAGTGTTCCAAAAGTGGCCTGTCCAGCTGCAACATGATTCCTCACTCTTATATTCTATACACTGACCAGTAAAGACAAGCATACCAAATGCCTTCTTCACTGTCCTATCTACCTGCGACTCTACTTTCAAGGAACTATGAATCTGAACTCCAAGGTCTCTTTGTTCAGCAACACTCCCCAGGACCTTACCGTTAAATATATAAATCACACCCTGATTTGCCTTTCCAAAATGTAGCACCTCACATTTATCTAAATTAAACCCCATCTGCCACTCCTCAGCCCATTGCCCATCTGATCAAGATCCCGTTGTACTCTGAGGTAACCTTCTTCACTGTCCACTACACCTCCAATTTTGCTGTCATCTGCAAACTTACTAACCATACCTCCTTTGTTCACATCCAAATCATTTATATAAATGACAAAAAGCAGCGGACCCAGACCGATCCTTGTGGCACACTGCTGGTCACAGGCCTCCAGTCTGAAAAACAATCCTCTACTGTCACCCTCTGTCTTCTACCTTCGAGCCAGTTCTGTATCCAAATAGCTAGTTCTTCCTGTATTCTATGTGATCTAACCTTGCTAACCATCTACCAGGAGAAACTTTGTTGAATGCCTTACTGAAGGCCATATAGATCACGTCCACCGCTCTGCCCTCATCAATCCTCTTCGTTACGACTTCAAAAAACTCAATCAAGTTCGTGAAACATGATTTCCCATGCACAAAGCCATGTTGACTATCCCTAATCAGTCCTTGCCTTTCAAGATACATGTAAATCCTGTCCCTCAGGATTCCCTGCTTCAACATCCCCACCACCAATGTCAGGGTGACCAGTCTGTAGTTCCCAGGCTTTTCCTTTCCACCTTTCTTAAATAGTCTTCCACAGCAACTGACAACTGTTTCCATTTATATATCAAATAGATATCCAGTGGCTGTTGCTCAAATACTGAATGGATGTTGGATGGGAGTCTGTGACATAAGTCTGGTAAGATTCTTAGCTAGCACTGAAAAACAAGCCATCTTCTGAACTTTTGGCCTCTTCGATCTCATTTCCCAGAAGAACTACACCTTCAAGGAATGAGGGGAGAAAATTGGCAAATTACAAATTGTTACTGACTTTTAAAATAAACAAGAATATTTCTGAAGAAGGGTCTAGGCCCAAAACATCAGCCTTCCTGCTCCTCTGATGCTGCTTGGCCTACTGTGTTCATCCAGCTCTACACCTTGTTATCTAAGAATATTTCCTTAGTTGTTTTAAATCTGCACCAGTGTTTTGTGAAATTGGCCCATGCCTGACTGAAAAGGAGAAGAGAGCATAAAAGACAGAGAAAGCCCTACTTGGTGTTCTTTTTTGTCTTTGATTTGTCAAGGACACACCCTTCAGTGCCATTCAGACCAGTTAGCTATCTTTCCCAACCCAAGGTGATGAATGCCTCACCTGAACTGACTGCTTGAGACTTGAGTGCACCATTTCCCCGTATGTGATCTACAAAGATCAACACTTTGGCGACGGTTGAAATAAACTTGAACACTACCATGGATATTTCATGTGCCTCTGATTTGGAAATGAAATCTAGACGATTCTTTGTTGTGCTTGGAGAAGATTCATAGTGTCCTGGCAACAATTTAAATGAAAATAAGAACTGTTTTCCAAGATAAAATGTGCTGGAGCTAATTGTACTGGCAAAATGAGCAAAATCTGTCATGAATAGAAGTGCTTTAGCCACTTAAATAATTCCATGCTGCAGCTCTGCCTTTTTAGATGACTGAAACTAACTCAGGTGATTATTTCCAGGTGGTACGGCCCTGTTTTGCCTTTATTCCTCAGTTGGTCAGATCTCTTGGCAGATGGATTTGAGGTGATACTGTTGAAGAGGGATGTTGGTTGGGTCAGGATGAAGGGTGCAGCAGTGACTGCTGCAAGACCCTACCAGTTGTAGTGAATCTTCCACGCCTCCCTTTCCAGTTTCCCAACCAGAACAAATCATCTGCCTGCATGCCTCAATAACTGGCATTTGGCAAATTATGTCAGTTTCTGGACTTGAAATGATGGAATAAGAATGATTTAGTTGGTTTGACAATAGCTCACAAGGACAAGTGATTCAGCTTGGGTTAAAATTCAGCACAGGATCATGATCATTTCCGTATGATTTGGCCAAAATTCAAACAACAGACTCCCAAGTGATGAAACTAGCAAGGATCAACTGTGGCTGGGAAACACTTTGATGCTGTGCGGCTTAATGTAATGCATCTCTTGTAATTGACTGCTGATATTCCGTTGGAACAGTATCTGCTCAGTCTAATTCTCTCTATTAGTGCAATTGTGTGCAAGCTGGTGGCAATACTCAAGTCTGCCACTGACCAAATATTGGGGATTTGATTTCAGTCATTGCGATTAGAGTGCATCATCACATTGCTGGAATAAAGGTAGTTAATATAAGAAGTGAACATCCTTGTCCTTTGAAGAACTCTTACTGGTACAAGGTCTTAATGTTATTTGAATGGAGTCTGCCGTACAACAAGAACGAGGGGATTCTGCCACTTCTCCTATTTTACCATATTCTGGAATAATAAACTCTACAGAGCAGAAAGGTAAAATATTTTTAATCTTTGACGTCCATCAAAGGAGCCAATTCCAGTTGAGGTGATTCTGATCCACTCTGGAATTTCATGTTTCCAAAAAATCAACCAGGACCCGATGATTGATCCCAATCTATCAACTTTGTTCGACATTTTTCTTTTAAATTTCTAATCAACCTATTCAGAGTTGCTATCACATACCTCTAAAACAGGTTGGACATGAGCCCCAGCCTCCTGGTCCAGAGTTAGGGACATTACCACAACAGCCCTTCACTTCGTGTGGTCAGGACAGGACAAGATCAGCTTAGGTTCAACTCTGATAATCCCAGAGTTGAGTGACCTGTTGGCTCAATATCTACATTCCCTCACGAGGAACAGATACTTGGCCAAGATACTTGAGTTTGAATATGCCATAGAAATTTCCTCTTCATATGAGCTACTAGCAGGAGGTGGAAGCGCACTTTGGAGGTGGGTACGGTGGTGAGATTTGGGAATAAAACATTCACACTAGCAGAAAGTGAAATAAAGTCTACAGTAATCCAAAAGAGATTTTGTGCTGTTAGTGGCTTTTCCGATGAAAAATTGTTAGATTAGACAACTTCTTTGTTTTACTGACCTGGAACAGTTTTCAGTGTTAGCCGAGCTTTAAATGTATTAAACCTAGCAGTTTGAGTGATTTCTTTGATTATTTTTAATTAAAGCATCATACCAAATTCTGCAGGGTGATATTATGCAGCTGCCCTTGTTAATGCAAGCTGTCAGTGTTCCTGAAATTTTAAAAACCTAAGATATTTGAACAACCTCACGCTTGATGCTCGGTGGTTCATAGCAGTAGGAGTGTGGTTGACAGTTCATTTAATGTCTTTTAACTGTGAATTTCAGATGCATTGAGGACTTCAAAGACACTGACCTATATTGTCATGGTGAAGAAATGAGAGTAGACTTGCTTTTATACTAACCTTTCATGACTTCAGTATGTTCCAATGCATATTACAGCCAACCAAGTACTTCAGAAATGTAAATGCGGTCACGGTGAAGAAAATATAGCATCCAGTTTGCAAACAACAATATCCCACAACTGCAATGTCATATAATCTGTTTTTAGCTAAGGAATGAATATTGATGAGAACATCAGAAATACCTGTTTGCATCAACTGAAATTAGTTAACTTGAATTGTAAATTTCCTAGTTTTGGTGGTTTGGTCATGCAAGGAACGGGGCTATTTTTATCTCAGCTGAGGCAAGAATGGAGTCAAAACGTTTTGAAGAAATATTGTTTTTTATTTTACATCAAGGAATACTAAGAATTTTTCCAGGTCATGCTGTAACAACCTGATGTTTAATCTGCATGGATTGACTTGATCCGAATTTGCTTCAAGGTTCCTCTAACCTGCTTGTTTCTTTGAGGAAGTAACAAACAGGTTAGACCAAGGAGAGCCAATGGATGTTATCTACCTGGACTTTAAGAAGGCCTTTGACAAGGTGCCACACAGGAGGCTGCTCAGTAAGATAAGGGCCCATGATGTTAGAGGCAGGGTGCTTGCATGGATAGAAGATTGGCTGTTTGGCAGAAGGCAGAGAGTGGGGACGAAAGGATCTTTCTCAGGAAGGCAGCCGGTGACAAGTGATGTTCTACAAGGGTCAGTGTTGGGACCACAAGTTTACCTTTATGCGTTAATGATCTAGTTGGAGGAACTGAGAGCATTCTGGCTAAGTTTGCAGACAACACAAAGATAGGTAGAGGGACAGGTATTATTGAAGATGCGGGGAGGGTGCAGAAGGATTTGAACGGGTTAGGAGTGGGCAAAGAAGTGGCAGATGGAGTACAATGTGGGAAAGTGTGAGGTCATGCACTTTGGTAAGAAGAATAGAAACATGGACTATTTTCTAAATGGGGAGAAAATTCAGAAGTCTGAAGTGCAAAGAGACTTGGGAGTTCTAGTTCAGGATTCTGTTAAGGTAAACTTTCAGGTTGAGTCAGTAGTTAGGAAGTTAAATGCAACTTTGGCATTTATTTTGAGAGGACTTGAACGTAACAATAGGGATGTACTTCTGAGACTCTATAAGGCTCTGGTCAGGCCACAGTTGGAGTATTATGCGCAATTTTGAGTCCCATACTTCAGGAAAGATGTACTGATCCTGGAGCATGTTCAGACGAGGTTCATGAGAATGGTCCCAGGAATAAGAAGCTTAACATAGGAGTAACGTATGAGGACTGTATGCTTTATGGAGTTTAGAAGGATGAGGTGGCATTCAATTGAAACTTGCAGAATCCTGAATGGCCTGGACAGATTGGATGTTGGGAAGATGTTTCCATTGCTAGGTGAGACTAGGACCCGAGGGCACAGCCTTAGAGTAAAGGGAAGACTTTTTAGAATGGAGATAAGGAGAAAATTCTTCAGCCAGAGAGTGGTGAATCCATGGAATTCACTGCCACAGAAGGCTGTGGAGGTCAGGTCATTGAGTATATTTAAGACGGAGATAGATAGGTTCTTGGTTGTCAAGGGGATCAAAGGTTACGTGGAGAAAGAGGGAGAATGGGGTTGAGAAACTTATCAGCCATGGTTGAATGGTGGAACAGACTTGATGGGCCGAATGGCCTAATTTCTGCTCCTATGTCTTATGGTCTTGCATGTCATGATCCCAGCTGATGTTATTAATGGGCAAGCCAGATCCCAGACTAAAATTGGGCTTAATTGATCTTTTTCTTTTCTTTTAAACGAGGTGGTCTTTCAGTGAAACCCAACACACAGTACTGCAGCTTTAGATTTGAACAATAAAACAGAAGTTTATTACACAAAAACAAATGATGAAATAATAGAGTAAACAAAACGATATATAATACAAATTTAAAGATTTGGAAACACATTGTAAAATACAATCCCTTTCATTCTAGGAACACTCCTTACAGTATTCACACCAAAGAGAATTCTCTTCTCTCTCATACCTATAAAGTTTAATTTAACTGTAACTTCAATTCCCCATCTTGAGAATCTGATAGTCTCTCCTTGGACTTTCTCTTGAGCTTGGACTTTCTTAGCTTCAGGTAACCCATTTAGTATAACAAGGTGTAGAGCTGGATGAACACAGCAGGCCAGCAGCATCAGAGGAGCAGGAAGGCTGACGTTTTGGGCCTAGCCTGCTGTGTTCATCCAGCTCTACACCTTGCTATCTCAGATTCTCCAGCATCTGCAGTTCCTACTATCTCTGAACCCATTTAGTATGACTGATCTGGAACGTCTAAAGTAAACTCTTTACACTGAGGTACTCTCTCAACAATCCTAAACCACCTCTTTCTCTAAGCAGCAACTGTTTTACACATCCACCTCCAGCCAAGACTTTGACAAAATGCCCAACTGAAGCCCAAAAGCTTTTTTCCAAGCTGTGGATACAGTTGATTGTGCTGTAACGTGTGTTCTGGCAATGTGAATTGGCTATAACATGACTGACGAATTGGGAGCGCTATTTCTAAAACGCGAACTTGTAATGGGCATAATGCAATTCCATGGACCAGGGTGCAATAGCGGCTTTTAAAGGCTATTATTTAAGGCGCACATTTAAGAGGCTGATTGCAGCCACTGAGGGGGATACGGACAATGCTCTTCAATTTTTGGAAGAGCTTTAAAATCAAGAATGCAATTGACATCATCATGGAGGCCTGGGGTGATGTCAGTTGCATGCAGTTTGGTGGAAGCTTCTCCCAGACTTTTTGCAAGATTTTAAAATCTTTGATCCGTCAGAGGAGCTCCCAAGAATCAAAGAACATTGCGTTGATCTTGCAAAGCAAGTTCATTTTGAAGAATTGTAGAGTGAGGATGTTGAAGAGCTGCTTGAGTCCCATTTTGAAGACCTCTGTGCAGCTGATCTGCATCACCATGAGAGCTTTCCACTTCTGTTTTTACTTCTATCCTGAGGGAAATTGAGAAGCAGTTACAGCTCTTAGAAGACAGCAATTACAATGCAGAACGCAGCAGGGTAGCAGTTAATGGAATAAGATCTTATTTGACACCCTACGAACAGTTTCTTCATGAAAGAAGGAAAAGGACAAAGCAGCAAAAACTGGATGTCTTTTTTAAGCCATCCCCCAAGAAACAGTCAGGAGACGATGAACCACAGCCATCCACTTCTGAATTAACTATTTTCACCCTAACCGTGCAGCCGCAACTGTACCTGAAGGTAATGATGATGATGATGACGACAATGACTCTCAGCCCCTGCATTAACAACAGAACAACCTCAAAATCTCCTCCCCCATCAAGTCACCTTGGCATTTTTTCAAGCTAAGTTGTTAAATTTACTTTTATTTCATTATTAGATATGAATTAAAAATTTTTTCAAACTGTGCTATTCTTTGCGTTAGGCTTTTGAGTGATTTTTGAATGATTTTGAGTGATATTTTTTGGTGATCTGCCCCATCCCTGCCTTTCCCATAGGCCCCGTTATTTCTATAGTACGATTTTCTATAACACGATGTTGCGCAGTAACACAACTATCACGTTAAAACATAACTGACTGTATTTTCCTTTATCCCTAAAAAAAAATGCTCTATCTGAGCACTTCATGCATGATGCTGTTTCCTCCATTCGCTAGTAAACTCCCAATGTAAAGCAATTCCTTGTTCCCCTCCATGAAGTCTCTCTCTAACACTGTGTTTTAAAATAAATCACCATGGCTACAGAAATACTTATAAGCTAATTGTTACATCCTTTCAAACAGGGACCCAAAATGACATGGGACTGGCTCAAATTAAAACTCTAAAATAAATGATACTAAAATGTACATAAATCATATACTTTCCATTTTGGACACCAAACTGACATGTAAGCCAATCTACATGACATGTTTTTGCCACATTTTTATCCTTAATGAAGAGAATAGATGTAGAATTTGCCAACAGGAGCAAATTCTCATATTCTGATCACTTAATTTGCACTATTAGCTGCCTTTGTACTCCAGCACTCTGCCATTTCCGCCCCCCCCACCCAACTATTGTATAAAGACTCCCCCACCAC